CCAGGCTAAGTCCAAGGCTAAGGCAAGCCTATGGCTAAGGCTAGGCACGGCAAGGCTACGGCTTGTGGCTAAGGCCTGTCTTTTTGGGTACCTGCTTTGGTGGTGCTGGGTTGGGTCTAAATTGGTAAACCTGGGAGGTACCCAAAAAGTCGACTTTTTGGGTACCTGCTTTGGTGGTGCAGGGTTGGGTCTAAATTCTTGGGCAATGATCGGGGTTCATGCAAGAGCTGACGTCCGATGGTAAATGTGGGAGGTACCCAAAAAGTCGACTTTTTGGGTACCTGCTTGGTGGTGCTGGGTTGGGTCTGCACTCTTAAGGCTGAGGCTAAGGCTTAAGGCTAAGGCTAACATAGAGCAAGGCTAGCGCTAAGGTTCTATCCCTTGGGGGTCGGCGGCTGCAGGCGGTAGCCTGGTAAATATGAAAAATACAGTTTTTGCTGCATGTTTTGGAGCCTGCCTCCTCCAGCGGATGCAAATGCTTCATGCGGTGGTACACCCTGGAATAAATGTTGTTGTAGCCCTGCTTCAACGGCTTTGCTTTGCCCTTAGGCGACGACTTGCTCTTTGGCGATGCCTTGGCTTTGCTCTGGGCTGCAGATGACTTGTTTTTTGGCGATGGCTTGGCTTTTGGCTTGCTCTTGGCTGCAGTCTTCAATGCCTTGCTCTTGGGTGTCTGCTTGACTGCTTTGCCCTGGGGAGTTGGCTTTGTTGCCTGGCCTGTTTGTTTGGCCTTTGCTCTGGCTTTGGCCTTCAGTGGAGTCAGTGGTGTGGGCACCTGTGCAATCTCACGTCGAGCCTCTTCCTGCACAATCCTCATGTAGTCACAGAGTACAATGCCAATCAGAAGCCTGGAACATGATAAATCATAAAACTGAGACCCTTGCACATCATGTGAATCGCCATGAACTGCCTCGCAAAGAAACACCATTGACAAATAAAGACTACTCATCCATGTTCAACCCAATGTTCAGGGCCCACCTTGTGTGAAGCAGACCAGGCCTGCAAAGAAAGTAGTGGCTTCTTTATGTAGATGTTGAACATAGCAGTGAAACAACTCTAGTCACTCAGACCAGCCTCATCTGTTCCATTGCTGGCGATGTCAGCATCATCGGTAAGGTCCACCTGAGCTAAGGCAGTTTTTTCATGCCAGTTACTTGCAGTGTTTCAATAGTATTTTGTGAATGACTGAGGAGGAAACCATGAGTGTGTTCTTTTCCTGCCACTGAGGCTCCACACAAATCACATATCTTAAACGCACAGCTCAACAGCCACATTCCTGTCCTGCCCACCGACGTCCGCGCCGATCGCCAACTTTTTGCCATCCACATCCTGCAAGCAAGAACAAAAACCTATCCTACAACTGAAAAGAACACGCGTAAGCATCCAAGTCCTTCTCAAAATCTTCAGGCTTCACCTTGCTTGAGGACATTGGACATCACTGGCGGGCAATGAAAGTCAAAATTATGGGTGTAAGTATTGGACAGCCTGTTCAACTTCCGCTTGCTCCAATCCGTTGGCCCGCACGGTGCAATGGCAGCCTGACATTTGTTTGATGGAGGCTGGGCCCAGCACCTCTGAATCCAGAGCAGGGGGCCATGTAGATTCCCACACATCCTGACGGTAAGTAGTGAGTATGTAGAAGGATACATGTAATTAGCAGGAGACAGATATTATGCAGCAGCAGAATTTGATACACAGGGTCACAGAGAATAAAGTTGCAGTCTTTTTCGAAGTAGCAGCGCTTGCAAAGCTTTTGGCCAAGATAGGGGCCATCTTACAATGCATAGGCTTACCCCTTTAGAGTTGCCGTGCTGAACTGACATGCTTCGAAAGAGCACGTTCAAGATTGATCACATTGACTCACCTTGGAGTAGCCCTTGGCATTCCAAAAACTCCTCACCAACAGTTCCATATGGCCCTTGAAAGGTAGACAATGATCTGAACATCATTTGCAGGTGCCTCAGGGGCTGCAGGTGGCACAGGGCATGATTTACTCATGTGTTTTCCATGTTTCAAGCTTAGTTTGCACATGGTTGCATTCATGCCCCCCTGCATTGAAGATGAAGAGGTTCCAGGGTTGTTTGATGGTATTATTCAATCTTCAAACTTACAACTCAATTGTTCCATGCCACTTGGATTTCTTGCCAAGTTTCTGTTGCCAAGTTTACCAGTACAGAAATCAATTGTACAGGAAGATCTGGAGGAGGAGCCTCAAATCGAAGCCACTCGCCAAGTCAGTCACCATGGAGGGGGTTGTGGCTTCATATGTTCTAGGTTACTTCTGGGGGCACTATGCTGTTGCCATCCCATTTCACACACAGTCAGCGGATGTTCCGTAATGTCTCTTCATTGGGGCATGATGGCGTGATATGGGTAGTTTAGCACAATAGCCTTTTTTGAGCCCAGTCAACTTGATCATTGTGAATCAGACATGTGTTGACAACATTACCATGCATCAAGCAAATTGCAAAAGCCCAGTCCGGGTTCAGCTCCAATGTCGTTGCCATACTGGAACATGTTGATCGAGGCGTGACACTCCTGGCAAGATGAGGCCCAACAATGCCCCCCAACAATCAAGACCAGTCAGCTTCAAACCAAGACCGGGTCCTTCTCACTCTTACCATGGTCATCCTTCTCTTTGGCCTCCGAAAAAACCAACCAGGCTTCTAAGAATCTTCTGGTCCAACAAGCCTCCAAATCTTCTTTTCCACAATCCTTGCAGAGCAAATCTCCCAAAGTAAGAATCAGCTGGCCAAAGTAAAAATCAGCTGAGCCCCAGGCCCGTCCATCCTCATCCTGGTCATCAAAGTAGCTTCGGGGACAGCGCCTCAGCTTCTCAAGAAGGTGGCGACCATCAAGTCGTGGTTGAGAGGCATCAGGAAGAGGTGCAGCTTCGAAGAACTCCTGATCCAAGGACTTCCTCAACTCCTGGCCCAAATCAGACTTTGAGTTTTAAGTTGGGTCTTTTTGCACTGAGCTCAAAAAAACTAACCACTGTTTAGCAATGCCGCACCCTATGGTTAATATTCTTTGATGGTAGCTCTGACGTAATATTCAATACCATAATAGACAATACCATAATGATCCAAACATGTATCTACTGTAGTCTCATTCCAAATCAAAGCCCGCCTTGTCAGGAGTCCCTGTGTCCGGAAGTTGAAGGTGCTCAGCTAGGTTAGCCTGGTTCATCGACTCCATCATTTGAGCCCGCAGGTCATCCAGGTCTTCTCCAGCATCTTCTCCATCCTCGTGTTTGCGGCCTTTTTTTTGCATCTTGCCATCTTTCTTCTCTGTTTTCTCCTTCTTGGTGTCCTTCTTGACAGTATCAGCAGCTGGTCTCTTGCACGATGGCCGCCTGAAGACTGTCATGTCGCCATCATCAAACTCGTCCTCATCATCATCATTGCCAAAGAGGGCTTCCTCATCATCCCGGTCGATTGGCGGCTCCTCCTTGTCCTTCTTGGCCTTCTTCATTTTGTGTTGCTCTGTCTTCTTCGCCTTCTCCTTCTCCTTCTCCTTCTCCTTCTTGTTGGTTTCCTCCATGTCCTTCTCTTCAGGAGACTGGGAATCACTGCCCGAACCAGAGACATCGCAGCGTCGAAACAGCCCACCTCCTCACAATGCCACTACCAGACAACAGACAAAACTAAACAAACATGAACAAACAAAGAAGCAAGTGTTGCAACATCTGCTGTCAGTCCTGTCGCCGCAGTCAAATCCAAGGCGTTTGACGAAGCAGCTCGGGCAAGAGAACCAGGAGGTGGCGAAGCTTTGGGCACCGGTGTAGATCTAGGCGCATTGCCAGTGCCAATCATGTCCATGTAGGAGCTGGCATCGAACTTCGGGTTATAGGGCATTGACTGAAAGGGATCCATGGCGACGATGCAATGCCGACCCCACCAAGTCACAAGCTACACTTGAAGCCTGAATGCACCACCATTTTCACTAGCGTCAAAGATCAAATGACTGTCATGATGTCAACTCAGAACATTCACTGTTTGCAGCAGTTTGAGATATGATTTTTGTAAAGAAGCACCCGTTTGTTTCTCTCAGCGGTGGTCTTTACGATTCGCTTCAAAAGATGAGACGTTCTCCGAGCTTCTACGGCGTTCTCCGAGGTGCTCCGACATCTCTGCAACTCTTAGAGTCTTATGGTAGACATCTCCTGTGATTTCCCTGACCTGGTTGAACCTGGATTTGGATTTGATTCGATCCTTTCATGTAGCGGCATTTGTTTGAAGATTGTTCTGAAACATAGTGGTTTTTAGCTGACATCCAAAAGATTGGCCATGGGGTTACTTGATGGATTGACTCACTCAGAACAAAGGTTGAGCAGTATGCAGATCACAACCAGATCCGACCAGATCAAGGGTCTGTCTAAGTACAGTGGCACTGTACACCCTATCAGATCTCTACCGTCTCTACCCCAAACTTTACATCAGCTTGACAACTGTCTTGGACTTCAAGCTAACACTGCCACCCAGCACGGCCACAGGCCTCACTGGAACAAGCTGGCGAGCATCGGGCTTTTCTGCGTGGATCCTCAGGAGACACTGGTTAGCAGAGATCTGTAGGAAACAGTTTTCAAGGCTCAGTTATGTCAAACTGTTTGATTGTTTAGGTTGGTTTCTTCCCAGCCACCTCATGCGCCAAATGATCTTGATGTTCTTGTTTGTGCGAAGCTTTGCAAAGGGGAGGGATGCTCCAAAGCTGATTGCAGTCACCTGACAGATGTATAATTAGTGGAAAGAAACATATGATGAAATATAGTGACATGCAAATCCTATGAATGAATGCCAAACATAGGTGATTTTGCCAAACATAGGTGCCTTCTTTTTCTTCTTCTCACGAGGCGGATCCAAGATAAAGACAACCTTGTCCAAAGCTTTGATCTCGATGTCGCCCACATCATTCTTGCTAGCTTTGTGCTCTGCAATGGCTGCACCGACGTCCCCGGCATTCTCCATGGCTACCAGGATGTCGGACATGGGCATCACCTGCTACCAAAAAGTACATTCAGGACAATTGAGGATACACCATTGTGTAGACCACACAATCACTTGTCGCGCCTTGTTGAAAATGGCCAGCTCGCGAAGGTGTTCAGGAAGCTTCCTGCTGTGCTCAAGCACCACCCATGCATCGCTGGCTTTGCCGGAAAGGTCAAAGAGAGCCCATCGTCCATTGCAGTCGCTCATGATATCATTGGCCTCCGCACTTTTTGCAAAGTCCCCGCTTCCAAATCCACAGATCTCCTCGTTCTCTGCAATCACGTAGTCCTCATTGGAGTGCATGAACAAGGATTCTGATGCAAGGCTCACAGTCCAATGCCCCGAAGGAAGATCTTGCCTGGAGTGACAAAGTGGACATTAAAGAATACTAAAAAAGAGAACTGCGCAAATCATTACTGATATTTGGCAGGTCCTCAAAGCATACTGTTTCATGCATGGTGCTGACAGGATACTACTCTGTGTTTTTTCATGTGTGGAACATGTTTTGGCGTTTTGCATTCAATTACAAAACTCCAGCCTCTCTGCAAACTTGGTCTCAAACTCATCCAAGCTCATGTTGTCATCGGGCACGCACAACATCTTTTTCGGGCGTTCCACTGCTGATCCTCCACTGGATTCACTGCCGCGTTTGATGCCACGCGGATTGAACTCCTTGTTGTGCTCTTGGATCAGCCTCGCCACCTCTGATGAAAAGTCCGGCTTGTCAGACCATTGTTCCACCAGAGCCTCACGCGCAACCAAACTGTCCCCAACACAAATGCATACCTCGTAGGGCAGGGTGTGGTTGTGGAGCTTGAGAACGTAGCTCATCAACAGCCTTCTTAAAGTTCGGAAACCCAGGGAGGGACAGAGCTTGGGAACGGCAAAGGTCAAAGCAGCGGCCACCGATGACGCTGGTGCACCAGGCCGCTTCAGCTGTTGTGTGCCCCACAGTTGCTGCTGCACATCGATGGCCTGAGAGAAGACTTTGAATCTGGCCAATGTGAAGAGGATTGAATCTTAGAGAACCTAAGAGGCTTCAATATCTAACAGGATTCATGTTGATGTCAACTAGCAAAGCCTTCATGATTACCCTTCAAATAGCCTGCAGCAATCTCCTGTAGAGCAAACACACCAGGCCAGCCATCATAGCCCAACAAGTCAATGAGCACCGTGGCAGGCTTGGAGCCATTTGGTGTCAGGGCCTCAATGACCTTGCTGATGAAGCTGGTGCCACCCACATGCTGACAGGGTTGAAGTTGGTTGCAACAATCTTGTTGAATGATATCTGCAATATAACCATATATAACAATGTATAACAATGCATGTTGTCTTCACGTTCTTCATGTTTATAGTATATTTACTGTATATTATGTTGTTGTTTTTTAAAAAGTCATGTGTTGTCTAATCAAGACTGAGCCTGCCGTTGCCCCTGAGATTGCGTGAAGCGCTTCTCTGAGCCATAGCCATCTTTGGGAATCTTGAGCATGTCCGCACGTTGAAGCATTGTCACTCCATGTACATGTCCAGTCTTGAAGAACTTCGTCTTCATGATAGGGTTCCCCTTGTCGTTGGCCGTGATGAGGATGCACTCGTGGAAAGCTGATCGAGAACCATAAAGCGACTCAGGCTGGAAGCTGACCACCGATGAGCGAACCTGACATTGATGCGTTGTTTGATGACGTTTTGTTAACTGGTGGTTTTTAAAGTTAAATGTGTTAAGTTGCTTTGGGTTGACAAGCAGTTGACATGGTAAGCATACTACTCTGTATTATGAGCCAAGTGACACGAAGATTCCGGCCCCGTTCCATAAACTGACATTTCAGCTGGTATTGGAAGTCTCGTAGAACAGCCTCAGCGCCCTCAGTGCAACCTTTGCTTTCATTCTGCTCGTTGTCTTCATCATCATCTTCATCCATGTCGATGTCGCCTGTCAAACACAGCTTGAAACCAGTTCTGTTTCATGTCAAACCAATAGACACTAAGTCCAAATCCCATATTCCAGCCTCCAGGTTCCATCTTCAAGTCATCCACATCATGGTTCTCGTCCTTGACGTCCATCTCTACCCTGAGTTGAAAAGTGAAACTGCCAAGTTAAGAAAGTTGCCAAGTGCCATCAGTCAATGATCATTTAGCAAGCAAGGCACTTTGCAGCATTCCTCAGATCCGCCGCCCGATTGGGAAGTGCCAGCACGGCCACAAAGGACTTAGGAAGGTGGTTGGCCAAGGCAGTCACCTGGCTGAGGATGAAGTGCTGCTTGGACACCGACATCACCCCAGCCACTGGGTAGGGAACCCATGCCACCACCAGCTCGTTGTCCTGCCTGCGGATGCCGTTGTTCAAGCTGGCCAATGTGGAATCAAGCCAAGGGAGCAGCTTGGCGCTGAGGGTGGAGGTGTTGTCAACCTCTGTGTCAGGTCCTTTGTTTGAGCGCTTGTCAACTGTCCATATATCAACTCAGCCAAAACGTTCCCACATATTGATTCAAATGAATTGTTGCCTAACACTTAAAAACACTGTTGATTTATGGAATAAATCAGGTGAAATTACAGGATCATACCAAATACAACCCAGACTCCAGCACTTCCAGACTCCTTCTGCTTTGTTGTAGTGGCGTTGCACCAGATTGGAGTGGTCTCCGCCATGAAGTTGTTGATCAGCTTCCAAGCAATGCCATGCATTTTCTGCCAGGGTCTCATTTTATTGGATTTCATGCTTTTATGTTTTCTTTTAAATCACAGTCATTGTTGCACGCGCATAACATTTTAATCCACCTCCCCCAACCTCCAAGCTTTCCACAATGGCTGCTCGAGCCCGACTTTCATCACCAAGTGCCGCTTGAAGATATCTTCTCCGCAGCAATTGGTCCTGCTCCAAATGGCTCTTGAAGAGCTCGAAGGCGCTCACTTGGCTCTTCTTGTAGGCCGATGATGCCTTGCTTTGCGCCTGCTCCAATGCCTCTTCCTGCATCAAGCCCTTCCCTTCAAGCACGAAGCTGAGCTTCTTCCAGTCAAACTCCGGGCTCATAGTCCGGCAATGGGCTTTGAGCTCCAGGTCAAGTGTCCTCAGGCACAGAGTTGGCTCTCAAGAATTGACTTGCATCAAGCCCGTTGAAAAACAAATAGCAAAATTAAAAACAATCCCAAGAAGAGAACACAGGCTTGGAGTCAGGGCAAATGTGCCAAGGTGTGAGTGAATCGAAGGAGAGTTCTGGGTTCAAAGCACTTTGGCTGAGGGGAAATACAGCGATTTAAGTTGGCTGGGGCCAAGTACAGCGATTTGGGTTGGCCCGGGCCAAGTACAGCGGTTTAGGTTGGCCCGGGCCGAGTACAGCGATTTGGGTTGGCTGAGGATGAGTACAGCGATTTGGGTTGGCTGAGGGTGAGTACAGCGTTTTGGGTTGAGTTCAATGAGTATACCGGTTTGCCTGAGGATGAGGGTTCACCCAATGCAACACTTCATCAGGGGCTCAGGGCAAGTCTCAAGATGGCTTGCGCAGCAGTTTGGTAGCTCAGGCCAAGGACACCAGCTTTAAAGGGATTAGCCCAATGGAACACAGCGATTTGGGTTGGCTCAGGCTGAGTACAGCGATTTGGGTTGGCTCAGGCTGAGTACAGCGATCTGGGTCGGCTCAAGGCCAGTACTGCGATTTTTAAAAATCACTGTATTTCAGCGGGGCCATTTTTTAAAAAAATTTAGAATCAATGTATTTTGAAAGCTGGGCGGGATTGCCAAAAAGTACTGTGAAAAAATAAAATCACTGTATAGATCATTGTCCATTGCAGCAACCACCGATTTTGGCAATCTTAATCTTTTTGAAATCCTTCACAGTTTTTTTTATTTGAAAATCACGTGATATTATTTTTTCACAGGATTTTGCTCTTCCATTTCTGGACCTTGTTTTTTACAGTGTTTTGGAACTTAAAATTGAAAAACCTATAAAAATATTCACTGGAATAATATTGGAAGCCAGGGATCCCTTGCGTCCACATTGCAGTGATCTTGTCCAGCTCAGCACCCTTGCCAAAGTAGGTATGGAGGTCTGGCTCAATCTGACTCCATAGCGCGCAAACCTCCAGCAAGTCTTGCAATCCAGCAGTGTCACGCTGGGCCATTTTCTCAGGGAAGCAGGGTCAGCTCAGCACACACACAGTTAAAAGGCATGAGCGAATCTCCAAACAACTGCAACTCAAAAAGCTAAAAGTTAAAAGACCGGCCTTTTGCTTCTTTGAGCTTGAGCGTGGGGGCGCCTTGCGATTGTGCTCTTCCACCGCTCGCTGTGCCCACAGGTTCACCTTCTCCATTGTGACGGTCTCAGCAGGGCTGGATGGGATAGGATGGGATGGGTCACGACTGGTACAGTCTAAGTGCTTACCACTTAATTATTATTTCAAGGGAAAGTCTTTTTGGGGTTTGGAATGCACCAGGCCTTGACCTGCTTCCAGAAGGGGTCCGTCACTGAAGAACCGCCCAGCGTGTTTCCAGGAACGAACCATTCCCCGCCATCCATATTCTCAAGCGTAAAGGCTGCAGGGACAAAAGCTTCAGGCTCAATGAACTTGAAAGTGTCGTTTCATGGTTGAATTCAGGGTGACATCAAGTAAACAGTTTGGTCCCCTGTCCTGACCAGTTCCAAGGAACATCATCAGTGGCTTTCTTGAGAATGTCCAAGAAGGTAGGCCCACAGCGCAGCAAGTTGTAAAGGAAGCGCTTGGTGGTTTCTGTAATGCGCCATGCCTTTGAACTGCACATCCGGTTGTATTCGGCTACAGATGCAAACAAGATCTCTCGGATACTGGCATTGCATCCACCGACCCTCTTCACACGGATGACCTCTTTGAAAAGGAGCCCCAAATCCACAGGGCCAGGTTTCTGCTTCTCGCTGGTCCGGTAACCAGTGCCTTGATTTAGGGCAACAATATTATATTTTTGGACACTGGACTTTGGGGTCTAATAAAACTGTCCAAACAATGAAGCCATCTTCAAAAGATGTTGAAGGCAGTCAAAGAACACAACGTTTCGTACAAAGCTTCAGGACCAGAGCGTGGTGTATAGTTTGCACGAAGGTACTTGAGAGATGCAAGTAGCTCACATAGGTCGTTGTCCCCTCCGATATCCTCTGGTGCGAGCTCCTGAAATGTTTTGACATTAAACATGTTGATCATTGTATAACTCACCCTTACTTGAATGCAATTTGTTTGGATGCAGCCAAGTCTCAAGATGTATCACCAATGCTAGGATCCCTTGAACCATCAGGCCCTTGTTGTGTCCATCCACATAGCGAATAGAGTACTGTTCGATCTCAGAGCCTGGTGCAGTTGTAAATTTCAAATCCAAAGCCTCCAGCTCCGAATGGTAGTTCTTCCAGACCAAGCTAGGCAAATGGGCTCGTGTTTGCACCATGCTTGGGTATCTCCCAACCTTTGCATCCTCAGAGATGTCGAGCTGCCAAGGCGAGCAAAAGACATTGGTCCTGGCATTGGCAGGCACAGTCCTCAACTGCGGGCCAGGTGGTTGGATCTTGCTAGCAACCTCCGGAATCGCGAACAGGTCGGCCATTGCCTTCATGAGCTTCAGAATATTTCAGATTCTGTTGAATTAAGGGTTGAACAAATTAGACTGAACATGATTGATCTGATTTTGAGTTCGACAAACTCTATACTCAGGCCCCACCTTGCTAAACTGCAATCGCTTTCCTTCAGAATCTCCATGAGTTCTCCAGAGGTAGTCTCCAAGGCTCATGTCAGCGCACACCTGTGAGCACACCATGAACCAAGATGAATGTTGATTAATGTTGATGAATGTTGATCACTAGAAGCAGTGCACCCTACTCCCCACCTGTTCAAAGGCATCCAACAGCCAGCGTTTGAGCATGTCAGTTGACAGCGAGTTGAAAGAATGACCAATGAAAAGTTGAGTACACTTGACTTTGATGCGAAGGCTTTAAAGTGAAAGTGGAATCACACTCAAATGAATGTAAAGACAATAGGTAAAGAAACTTTACATGGCTCGATTCAACAAGATGCACACATGTGACAATAGAGTAAACTATTCCCATCTTTTTCCTTGCGCCAAGGGTTCCCCGCTCCAAGGCTCCATATTCAATGGTACCGGTGAAAAGTAACATTAAGTCTGTGCACACTATGTGGTTCAGGATGGGGCAGCACAATGTGGCCACGCTGCAAGGGACAATTGCTTCCAGCCAACAAGAAATCCAACTTCGGAGGGTCCTTGATAGGCCTGGCCACCTGCCCAGTCAATGTTCTCAAATACCTTACACCGCACCCATATTGTGGGTACTGCTCTGCCAAGCACTCAGCAAGTTCATTGAGGACATCTTTCCGCTCATCCTCCAGGTAGAATGCAGTTCCTCAGGTAACCCATGATTTGATGAAGCACATAAAAAGCTAAAGAAGTCATTCAGGACAATCTATATTTGACAAGTTTCTGGAGCAGTGACCTTCAGCAATGTTGAGAACAGCAGTGCTCACAGTTTCAATTGTATCTCCAGGAAGGACCAGAAGTGCTGGCTGTGAAAGCCCAGAGTCGCTGACAAACGCCTTCACCAAACAGAATACATCATTTCCTCGAGGTTGAAACCTTCTTGGAAGTCTGCAGTGGGCCTCATTCAAAAGTGTGGAGGGCATACCTGAGAGGCAAGAAAATCCGACACACCTATCAAGTTGGCAGTAAATGTGAAATATTGAGCGCAACTTATTATCTTGAGACCAGGTACGAGATCTTTGAACAAAGGTGAATGAGTGTGGGATCACCCGCTCATCCTTCTTGTCTCTCTTGCGGTACGCTCCAGACAGGTCAGCCACTTGTGGAAGGCTTGCTTTCCAGTTTCGCACTGACTGAACATATTCCACAACAAATTCAACTCCCTTCTCCTCAAATATGGGCGCCACACGTTGACGAAGGAGCCTCAGCTCATTCAAATTTCACGAGAATCCAAACTGAGTACATACACAAATCTCTAAGGCTTGAATGCCACAATGTCATGCGGTGTTTGCCTCGCTCACAGTAGACTTGGGAAGTGATAATGAATAAGTATTGAGGCTACTATCGCGTTTGCACAGAAAATCATTAGTTGCAACAAAGGCACACTCCATCATCGCCACTTCTCACATATTTGGTGAGCAGGCCAAAGAAGGCATCTTAGAAAGGTGTCAGGCAACATAGTAGACTTTCAGACAATGGACACTTGAAGCATCTTGAAGTCAACAACGCACTGCAGCTAATGTGCACCCAAGTAGCCCACATCTTCATGTGTGTGCCCGACGCAAAGGTGCTCGTGAGATATTGTGCTGAATACCCCACAAGCGCAGAGTGAACTGCACCAGTTGCCGAAAATCCCGTTCTTCACTTCCTCAGCTGGTGCATCATGAGTAGCCACTGGTTTAAGTTTTTGTGGAAGCCAAAAGATACTGGCAACAAGATCCCAATGATTGACAGGTGTCTTTTGGTGTGTTGTCTGCAAAGACTTTCAATATGTTGGGCCACTGATACTTGCGCTGTTGCGCTTGTATATATGCAAGGTTCAATGACCGACTCACAACTTCCATCACCCAAGAGGAGCCAGCAGCCTCACCTTCATCCGCGATGGCCACATAGACTAGTCGACCATGGACAATGCTTGCTGTAACCTCGCAGCATGGACGAATCAACTTGGCTAGATCTTTGGGAGCTCTGCCATTGACAAACTTTGGGAGCATGATCAACTTTCCTCTGTCCATGCTATCTGTAATGATAGTCAAAACGTCCATATCACGCTTGGCCCTTGTTCTCATGCTCCAATATGTAGACCTGTCCAAGAATTGGCCTTGAAGATGCCTCATAAGCAAATCTGCATTCTTTGCATGGCTGGATATGTCTTTCGAGTGCCGTAATCGAGCTTTGAGGCGTTGGCAAATGGTGCAAGCCGAGTGCTGACTCTCAGGTCTGAATCTAAGAACTTTCCGCCAGCCGCTTTTCCGCAGTGTGCGGTAGAACGTTGTGGGTGAGGCCACTTTCAAATTCTTTGCCCGTTGGAACGACACGTAAAGGTGGTACATATCCGCATAGCGCCCTGGCGGGAGATACCTTCTGACCAAAGAGGATGGACCCAGGTGAAGCACACATCTTGATAGGTCAGACTCCAGCGCACTGTCTACAAGAAGCTGAAGGAGTTTCTCCCTCTCTGGTTCCGTTGCTAGGTGTCGCCCAGGGTCGTGAACTTTCAGCCTAACAAAATTGTTGTTGGCCCAAAAGCTTCAATGTCGTTTGCAAGCACCTAGTTGCAACCAAGCATCTCGTGCGGCAACGTCTCTCCCAAAGACCAGTAGATGCGCTCCAGAAAGGAAATCACAGAATCAGCTGCATGGGAAGTTCGCGCAGCTGCATTACCTAGCATTTTTCTTTGAGTTAGAGTTTGAGTGACAGAGTGTTGACAACAGGTTCATTTTTGTAAGCCACACACAACATTAAGACAAGGCGCTGTACTTCCGATAGTCTTCTCCTTGATATCGGCGTTTTGTACGAACAAGCCGCCATCCAGAAATTCCCAATATCCGGCAAAATGCTTCCCTGCACACTTGGATTCCTGAAGGGAGATGCTCATTCTGAGACGCTCAACAATGAACAAAGCCACCACGCCTTGAAGAAACCAGGTGCTCATTCTCCTTGTGCGGCTGCAGGTGGATGAAGAGGAGCTGCTGGACCCACTGTCAGAGTCTGAGTCATTACCAGACTGCTGGACCACTGGTTGTTGAATACCCCATAAAACACAGTCTTGAGCGGATTTGGAGAGGCTCCAAAACATGCTGCACACAGTGAGAATTGTCCCAACATTGAGCTTTCTCCTGCAGTTCTTGCTACAGTGGCACACCTTTCCCTTCATCAATTGACGGATACGTTGAGGGTCTTTCCCATTTTGTGAAGCGAATGAGTCGTTTCCCCCAGACTCATCAGCTTCCCCCGGAAACATTTGCAAAGTAGCAAGCGTCAGCTCATTCTTGCCAGCTGGAAGTTGGGAGCAATCACCATCATCATCATCTGGGGATGTGGAAGATGATGCTGACCTTGTCCTCTTGGAAGCACGGGCCCTAGAGGAAGACGCTGACGTCGAACTGCTTTCCACATCAAAGCGCTGCATGGCTTGTAAGTTTACAGGCTTGAAGAAACTATGAAAGTTGCTATACTGTTAGATTTGTTGGCTGCCCTGTAGTCTAGTGATTCTTGACGCATGATCATACAGGAGCAAATTTGTGCATTTGATGCTTGTCACTCTGTCCCATAGACTATTGAAGGTTTATGCGATTACTGGGTCTCTTACTATGGCTTGGGATGATATGTGTTTTTAAAGATGATTTTGGTTTGTTGCCCCTGAACCCTTGAAATATGCACATGCACAATGCACACAGTGATGGATGTATGATGTGTAGCGTGCGACGGTGAACAGCATCGTTTGTTATATTCTACTGGGGCGCAAATCAAAGACCTTTTATCCAGCAAGAAGCGCCTCTTGCTTAGACGTGCCTGCGCTTATTGCGGGCTTCACGGCAAAATCTGTTCACATCTGCCGCACACAGAGTTGCCAGAAAGGCTGCAGCTACACACTTTGCGTTCATTGCCTTGCAGTTCACATTTGATAAGGGCAAGCTCTTGACAATTGAAGAAATGCAACGTTCAATGGCATTTCACAACATACAGCCAAGGTGCATTGCCAGCCAAGGATTTCATCTCCTAAAAACTGCCCGCCGGCACCCCGACCAAGATGAATAACTTAATAACATAGTTCAAACACAAACATTGTTTGCATCAAGGGCACCGTTTCACTGAGATGCGTCAATTTCAACTTGTCCACAGGGAACTGCTGAAATGCCAGCATATCGCCACCAAAGAATGGCCGGGCAGCTTCAAAGTTGTAGATCTGGCTGGCCGGAGTGATGCAAGGTGCATACTTGGTACCGCCCATTCTTCCCAAGCTTTGCGAAAAGTTGACCGTGCCCAGGCTCTTCACGTTCCCTTTGGCCGTCAGCAAGATGTCCGAGGCCTCAGCTCAAGAAGTTGAAAGAAGGACTGAAAGGTGTTTCTTCAAGCATGTGGTTTCTAGGGTCACCACGTGGTGGACACGCTGCGTCCAATAATATTTGCGAGTTGGATTGCACCTCCTCAGCTTTGCTGGATTCACCTGACAGTAAGGTGGCATTGGTTAGAGAGTTGTTAAAAAACAAAACAGTGGGCAAGTTTGTCGCTCCTGAAGCTGCTCCATCTTCTCATAGTGTGTATGAAGCCATTGTGGAGCATCATCTGTAGGCCTCAGTTGTTGAACTGCAAAGTGGCGATAGTGACATATTATAGTGTACATGTATCTGAGAAAAGGGCGCCCGATGCACAGGAATAGTTTTCCGCATCACCACATTTTCCTCGCACTCCTTGAGCTTGCTCTTGACATAGGAAGATTGGCTCGACAGCATCAACTTTGGCCTGATAGTGTTGCGCAAATACACTCCAAGTTTTTTTGGGGAATGGATTGAATGGATCTACTTACAAGCTGAGGTGTCTGCACAGATATTGAAGGCTCATCAGAGGCATCATATTGCTCCATGGCTTCCAAGCTGCTCTCCAGAAGCTCCTGAAAGCTCTCATTGGTGTGGAGCTCTGGCATTGCGACGTCCCTTAGTTCTGACATCACGTCAATGTAATTACGCAAGTTCCTTTCTGGAATCCAACAATGATAGTTGTTCCAAGAATCTTCCTGAGAAAGCATAGGTAGATCCTGCGCCTCGTCACTGGCTCTCCAAACCTTTTGGGATCCATGCGAAGGATGGCGAAGAAGTAGTCCTCCATCAGCCCACCCTCCTCAAATTTGTCCTTGGCCTAGGATTGAAAAAGGTCTCAGGCTGCTAGGACTTCAAAACCAGCAGAGTAGAGTAGGTTTCCAAGACTCTGTGTGTACTGATTGGGCTTTACATTCAATGCCAAGTCACCTGCCCGAGGACCCTGAGGAATCCATAGACGTTCTCCAAAATTGCCACCAAGGGTTGGCACCTCAAAGAGTGTTGTTTCAATGTTTTGGTTCTATTTGAGACCCCTTTGATGGCCTGTTGATGGCGACGATGACATCGTCCAGCACCTTCGCTTCTTTCTCATCCATCAGGGAGCTCTCCCGCCGCAGAAGCGAATACCTGAGGCCAGAAGATGAGTGAGTGGCAGATGTAACTGTAGTACAACAACAAGCAACCCACTGACTGTTAGCAAAAGCACGGCTGGCAGGGGAAGCCACAGCTGTATAGGATGACATCGTTCATGCCCTCCTCAAAGTTGCGGCCCTCCATGGTGAGATAGAGCCTCAAAATATTCATTGAAGGTTGATTCACTTATATGTACTTTCACTAGCGAGGAAAGCAAGAAAATAGCACTCAGGGATGAACTGCTTGGGCTTGCAATTGCCGAGCACAAACTTCAGTGGAGCAGCTGCATGATCACAAGCAGTAATCAGCTGGACCTGTCCAAGAATAGCATGATGAACTTCCATGTTCGCTTCAACATAAACCGACTGCTTAACATTCAGAATTGCCTTCTTCAAGGTTTCACGCAGGCCCCAAAGGCAGCCGCATGCCCCACAGCCTGAGCACAGTGTTTGAAAGCTTCAGCTTCATGTTAGTCCTTTGTGTTCATGCCAAATAATCATGCCAAGAAACAGTCAGCCATCAAGGTCCACCCTTCCTTCATCTGCTTGATGAGGTCATAGGCCCCTCAGTGAACAAAGGCTTTGAGAGCAACACACGATCTTGTTTGATCATGTTTTATGTGCAGTCTAGGAACCGCTCCACTCCACCATTTGATCTCCCCAGCCATGAAGATGGTCTCGTTGGGCATGCGTCAGGGTGATAGCTGGTGAGCAATACCTCGTCCTTGGCTCGTGGATGGGAAAACAAAGATTGTGAAGTCTTGACCGGAGATGCACAAGAAAAACAATTTCATTCCTCAAACATCCTCAAACCATCTATGCAGATTTAAATCATAGCCATGGAACTGTTCCTGTCGAGCTATCTTGAAAGCCAGCTGCGCGTTGACCTCCCCTGAATCCTCATCAGAGCTCTCCATCGCTTCATCCGAAGAGCTTGATGAGGGTTCTTGAAACCTTCTCATCTTGGCCCCCAACAGCTATTGGAGGAAGCGGCAGGAAGTGTTGATTGGTTTTGGTTGGAGTGTTGATTGAGCTGGTTGACTCTTGATGGTGATCTCAGAACCCCAGAAGGCCAAGAACGGCTATGGCAGATCATTGAAACCCAGCGGCCCAGACACATTTGGGCAGCACCTGACTGCAAACTCTGGGGCAACTTCGCCCGACGGAACATGGGAAGGAGCAAGCAACTGAGAACACGAATAATGGATGGTAGGAAACACGAAAGGCCCAACCTTGTTTTGTGTGAGGAGATCTATCTGTATCAGGTTGAAAACGGTAGACATTTTCATCTTGAACAACCTGTAGGGTCGGAGCTGTTGTTGCAACCTGAACTGGAACAGACTAGGTATGGGACCCTCCCAACGATTTTCGATATGTGTGAGGTTGGAAAACTGAACTGGAAAGGCGAACCTCTACAGAAAAGAACCATTGTTTTGACGACCTCCCGGATCATTCACGGTGCTTTGGACTGCAGGTATTGTTGCAAAACCCACGAACATAGGCAGAGCGCAGGTCAGGTGAAGCACGGCGGTAGTTGGATCTCGCTGTCATCATT